AATTGCTGGAGAGGGTGTGGAGAAAGGGAACCCTCTTGCACTGTTGGTGGGAATGTAAACTGATACAGCCACTATGGAGAACAGTATGGAGGGTCCTTAAAAATCTAAAAATAGAACTACCATATGACCCAGCAATCCCACTACTGGGCATATAACCTGAGAAAACCATAATTCAAAAAGATTCGTGTACCACAATATTCATTGCAGCTCTATTTACAATAGCCAGGACATGGAAGCAACCTAAGTGTCCATCGACAGATAAATGGATAAAGAAGATGTGACACATATATACAGTGGAATATTACTCAGCCATAAAAAGAAACGAAATTGAGTTATTTGCAGTGAGGTGGATGGATCTAGAGTCTGTCATACAGACTGAAGTAAGTCAGAAAGAGAAAAACAAATACCGTATGCTAACACATATATATGGAATTTTTTTTTAAAATGGTCATGAAGAACATAGGGGCAGGATGGGAATAAAGATGCAGACCTACTAGAGAACGGACTTGAGGACATGGGGAGGGGGAAGGGTAAGCTGGGACAAAGTGAGAGAGTGGCATTTACATAATACACTACCAAATGTAAAACTGATAGCTAGTGGGAAGAAGTCACATAGCACAGGGAGATCAGGTTGGTGCTTTGTGATCACCTAGAGGGGTGGGAAGGAGGGAGACACAAGAGGGAAGAGATATGGGGATATATGTATATGTATAGCTGATTCACTTTGTTATAAAGCAGAAACTAACACACCATTGTAAAGCAATTATACTCCAATAAAGATGTTAAAAAAATAAAATAAAATAAAATTGAAAAAAGAATAAATGGTGCACCAGAACATTCACACTCCAGCTGGTGAAAAGATGGCAAGGAGGAAAGGAGCATACTCCTTCTCTCAAAGGACCTGACTCCAAAGTTGTTCACTCACTCTACTCACATGCCCTCCATCAGAATCTAGCTACATGGCCACACCTAGCCACAAAGGAAAATGGGAAATGTTCTTTCATTGTTTGGCTGTATTAGTTATCCATTGCATCATAACCAGCCACTTCAAAATACAGTGGATTGAAACATCCACAATTTATGATTTCTCACAGTTCTGGGAAGTGACAATCTGGGCAGTTCTTTTGTTGGACTTGCCTGTAGCCACAGCTGTTGGATGGTTGGACTGGGCTGGAAGGTCAAATGTGGACTCATGCATGTGGTTGTGCTGGCTTGTCAGCTGAGGGCCTCAGCTGTCTCATTCTCCAATAGGCTAGCTGGGTCTCAGCACAGTGGTCTCAGGAGTCTGAGAGGGTGAGCACAGAAGCTGCAGTGCTTCTGACGGCCCAGGAACTTGAACAATAGCCCTTCTACCACATTCCATTGGTCAAAGCAAAGCACAAGAGCAGCCCAGATTCCAGAGGCTAGAGAGGAAGACCCCACCACTTGATGGGAGCAGCAGCAATGTCACATTGCAAGGGAGTGGGATGCAGGGAAACACAATTCACTGAGGGTCATAACTATTAATATAACAATATAACAATCTTCCATGGTGTCCCCAATAAGAACCTATTACTAAGTAAGAAAAGAAGGGTAGAGACTGCAGAGATTTGTTTATTCTGAACCCCAAAAAGTAAAAACAAGGACAGACTTTCCTGGGTTTATCTGCTTCTCACCAGAGGTTTATGGCCCTGTTTATTAGTAACTTTGTGATCATGCTAGGGTAATTTGTCACTACAAATAATTTACTTTTTAACCTATCATAAAGCTCCTATCTGACTGAATTCAACACAAGTTTCCAGTGCAAAGAGGCCAATGTGGACGCTGAGCCTTGACTGCCCATCCAAGGACAGGTGCCTGCAAGTACAGAGGCCCTCTCCTTTCTGGGTCAGTTAAGGACATTTGGAGATCTTGAGGTCTTTTGTCTTTCAACGTAAGGAAGAAGAAAATGGATTTTTAATGGATTTTGAAGTCAGAAGAAGAAATTGTGTAGAACAATTTCAAGTGACATGTGTTGCAACACCCCCAAAGATACAAAGGGCCATTATCTTATCAGTCATCCTTTGATGACATCCAATTGCGCTTTGAATAAAACTCAAACTCCTCACTCTAGTTTACAGAGCACATATGCCCAAGCTCCTGCCCACTCTTTTAGCCCCACCTGTGCTGCCCTCTGACTGGAAGACTCTTGCCCCTACTTGAGTCAGGGGTCGCCTCCCCTAGGACACTTCCCTCACCTGCCTTCCTTCCTATCACATCTGGAGCAGATGTCCATCTAAGCCATGATTTTCTTGTATCTCGATGAACTGCATGCAATTGCCACTTTTGTCAACAAACGTGTCAGCGATTTCATAAGGTTCACCTGATATTATAACAGCTAAACAACAGCCACTCTCTCCCCCCTACCTCCCTCGTGCCTGCTGCAGGCCATTCCTCTGAGGCCATTGGGACAGTTAAAGAGAAAAGCTTTGGAGCCAGACAGAAACAGGTTTGAATCCCAGCTCCATCTCCTCTTTATCTGTACGACCTCAGGCAATTGAGATGATCTCTCTAAGTGTCAGCTTCCTCATAAGTGAGATTCAGACATCAGTAAATAGCGAGAGATGGCCACTTAACAGGACTGATGTGAGCATTAGGATGGGTGCTAAGGGCAGAGTCGTGGGTACTGCACTGGCAAAGGTTGGGTGATGGGCAGTGGGAGAACGCCCCAGAGGAGGGAGGGCTACCTAGAAACAGCTATCAAAACTTCATCTGTACACACTCTTCATAGCAAATGCTGTTGGTACCCTGCCTGGATCCCTGTGGGCCTTGCCAGGGGCTGTGCTCACCTGGCAGACTTCCAACTGGCAGCATCTGTAGCCCTTTCTCTGGCCACCAGAGCTGCTCTGCCTACATTCAGGGCCGGCCCAGAGGTGCCGGGGAATTAGCACTTCCTTCCCCACGAAGAGCAACCCTCAGCCAATAACTATGTGGAACTGGTGTATCCACGCGCCAGCTCCTTCTCTACTCGGGTGGGAAGTATCAAGGTGCTTGTTCTACTTTGCGTCCCAGACCTCCCCGGTGGGGTTACACTCCAGGAGCTCATAACGGTCCCTCTGTTGATAATATACCCTTTACTGGCTGCCTTTCCCTCCCCAGCTCACGTCCCTCCCCCACTGGTATTTCCTGGAGTCTCTCTTAAATAAGCTTCTTTCACTCAAATTCTTCTCTTGGGGTTGCTTCTGGCAGAATTCAGACTTCCGGGAATGTATCCTATAAATTGTCTTACACATATGCAAAAACGACATGTATTCAATTTATTAATTCACCATTGTTTGTCATTGCGAGAAGTTGGAAATAATGTATCAGAGGGAGATGGTTAAGGACGTTAGGATCCACCCACACAGTGGAACGTGGTGCGTATATAAAAGAATGAAAAAGTACTTTATGTCTTCATATAAAACAATGTCTGAGCCATGTTAATGAAAAAAGCAAGATGCAGACAGTATAAACAACGCATGCTGCCATTTGTGTAAAAAAGCTTGTGCGTGTGTATGTGTGTGTGTGTTTGCATATGCCTAGAATCTTTGTGAAGGAGACCCCCAAATGCATAACCTGGACTACCCTTTACAAGAGACCTAAATGGCTGGCAGACCAGGATGGAAGGGAAACTTCATTACACACCCTTGCTTGTCTTTTGATTTTGATACTACAGACCTGTTCATCCATTCAAAAAATAAAAGTAGCATTAAAATAATAAAGTGAATACATAAAGGGAGGTGCACCATTGTGCACCGGACACATCAGCTCTAGTGCGGAATGGGTTGGACAGGTTCCTGCTGGCTTGTCCGGGTAGGCTCAGGCCCAGCTGCATGGGTTCCTGCTGGCCTGCGGGCTCACCCACGAAAGGAGGTCTCACTTCCTATAGCTGGGGGAGGATTTCTTGCACTTCCCTTTGTGTTTGCCCGCAAGAGCTGCCATCACCTCTGTCCCCGAGGAAGAACCAATGGCACCTTCACCCACGCACAAGGAAGCCCAAGCAGCTCCCTTCTGCCTGAGATTTGTGCCGAAGGCACTTGTCCTCATGCAAGAGAGATCTGAGCCACACACACAATTCACACTCGTGCATGCACGCGCACGCACACACACACACACACACACACACAGGAATGGAAACCCAAGCAGGTTGCTCCTGAGTGAGACATCACCGCCCTGGTCTCCCAACAGATGTGTCCATCCAGCAGCCTGGGGACCCGCTCGTTCGGTCTGACCACATCCTGTTTGCTGCAGGGGAGGCCACTCAGCAAGGAGTGGGGAAGGAGCTGCTGTTACTGCGGGGGAGCAGTTTCAGGGCCAGCTTCAGTTATCATGTCCTTGTACTGTCGTTTGAAGAAGCCAAGCTGTGGAGGCAGAGACAGGGGAGTAAGGGCACCAAGGCCAGGAGGGCGAGTGAAGGCTATGCAGGCCAGGCTGGGAGATGGTGGGACCAAGAGATGCAAAGAATAACGTGGCGGAGTGCAGAATAGATCTGGGGAAAGTGGGACAGGGAGGGGGATGGCATCACTATTGAGAAAGAAAAGAGGGAAAGAAATCTAAAATATAATAATAAGTACTCTTTATATAGTGTTTACTCTGTACCAGAGACTATTCTAAGTGCTCTAGAGATACGAACCCAAAGAGCTCCACAGGATGGGTATTTATAGTCTCATTTTACAGCTGAAGAAACTGAGGCTCTGTGAGCTGCCCGAGGCACAGCTGGGAGCTGAACCCAGGAAGGCGCTGCTGAGTGAGAAGCCATGGGGGTGGGGGGAGGGGAGGGGCAGGAAGAGGGCCCCGGGGGACTTACCTTGTACAGGCCACCCGTGATGAGGGCCAGGAGTAACAGCCCCCCAGCCGAACTGCCCACGATCAACGGGACAGGGTTATGTACTTCGTAAGGCTCCACCTTGGTCTCTGTCTGGAGCAGGGAGAGGGGGAGGGGGGCATCAGGGGAGAAAGACTCTGAATTTCTGGGGGTTCCCCAGTCAGACCTTGTGTGCTCCCCGAACCCCATGACTAAACCCCCTGTGCCCCCCAACCCCACCCCTCACCCCTCCTTCCCGGCCCCCCCAACCTCTCTCTCTCCCACAAGCCCAGCCCCCTCTCCTGCCTCCAGCGGTTCTTCTGTGTCCGAGACAGATACCTGGGCCCTCACAAACGCGCCCTGTCCTGGGAGCAGGGCAAACTCCGAATCATCAAACAAGATCTCCGCCATGCTCACAACCTGAAGATGGTTATGCAAAGTCTGTGGGAGAGAGAGGATGGGAGCTGGACCCATTGGCCCTGGAGGATCTCATCTGTGCCCAGCCAAGCCTCAGGCGCCCACATACCTTGATGTACCAGTCAAATGAGAGGTTGCCCTTGAGGGTGACCTTGAATTCTTCCTGGACACCAAAGGACGGGATGTCACACTGGATTCTCTGGCAGACAGCGATGGAGCAGTTCTGGGGAAGGGAGGAGGGGAGAGAGGTGAGCAGGAAAGCTGGATGCAGGCCACATCCCATGCACTCAGCCGGCAGTTGAGAGCCGGTACTGGGCCCAGGTGAGGCGGCAGTGCGGAGTCTGTGTGCAGCCCCGAGGCTGAGGCTGGGCTTAGTCTCACCAGCAGTGGGGCCTTCTTAAGCTCCCCCAGGAAGTCAGAGTGACGAGGGTCAGTCTTGTTGGTGTGGCATCTACTGGAGAGGTTCTGAGGAAAGAGGGACACTGTGAGGACGGATTGAAGCGAGGGCTCCTGGGTCCACCCTCCGGGAGGTGAAAAAACCGAGGTCCAGGAGAGGGTCAGAAATGGCTCCAAAACCCAACAGAGGAAACAGAAGTGATTTTAGGAAAGACCAGGGCTGTGGAGAAAGGAGTTGGGCCCAATCCTCAGGCCCAGCTGCGCTTACCTGGGAGAAGGTGACTTGGAGCTGGTCCCACACGGTCACCTGGTTCAGCTGGATGGGGACCAAGAAGACCACGCTGATGGGGAGCTTCCTCCCGCCCAGGTTGTTGAACTGCGTTGGGTGGGGAGGGGCAGATATCAGGGTTCTGGCCTTTCTGCCCCCACCAGCAACTAGAGTCAGGCTCCCCACTCCCGAAAGCCCAGTACTGAATCAGGCCTCACAGACCCAAGCATCCTGCCTCTTGATGCTTTCTGAGAGACAGGAGAGCACAGGGGTTAAACACCCATTCCAGAGCCAGACAGGCTGGCGGAAGCAGTGGCTCTTCCACTCTCTAGGGGTGAGACTGTGGGCAATTTCTGTTAGCCTCTCTGAGCCCCAGTTTCTTCGTCTATAAACTGGGGGAGACAACAGTACCTCCGTCACAGGGTCATTACGAGGGTAAAATGAGTTAATTACATACATGTATGTATACACATACGGATGCACGTGGTGGTGTGTGTGGATTCACAGCAAGCTTAGAACAGAGCCTGGCCCAAAGCAGGCACCTCATGCATGTTTCCCATCTTTTTTTTTTTTTTTTTTTTGCGGGACGCGGGCCTCTCACTGTTGTGGCCTCTCCCGTTGCGGAGCACAGCCTCCGGACGCACAGGCTCAGCGGCCATGGCTCACGGGCCCAGCCGCTCCGCGGCATGTGGGATCCTCCCAGACCGGGACACGAACCCATGTCCCCTGCATCGGCAGGCGGACTCTCAACTACTGAGCCACCAGGGAAGCCCTCCCATCATATTTTTTTTGGCCACGCGGCATGCGGGATCCTAGTTCCCCGACCAAGGATCAAACCCATGCCCACTGCATTGGAAGGCGAAGTCTTAACCACTGGACTGCCCGGGAAGTCCCTCCTACCATTCTTCCTGTGTTCCCATCTTCTCGATTTCCCTCCCCAGGCTCCTTCTCAGCTCCCCACCTGATACTGATGCTCTATAATGTGGCGGGTCTTCTCTGAGGCTGTGAAGTTGAGATATTTGGTCGAGACCTCAAGGCTGATGGGAGAAAGAAGAAGGGGCAGGAGGTGACAGAACATCAGGGGAGTCCTGGGAGGGGGTCTTGGGCTAAGTGTGTAAAGGGGTGAACAGGCACGCGGGTAACGCAGCCCTGAAGGGGTGCGAGCGGGATGGTGTGCAGGGGCAGTGCGGGTGGGACCTCCAGCATGTGCCAGTTTGGGCCCCTCACACACACACGTACACATGCACGTACAGACACACACGTGCACACACATATCCTCAGACTCACTCACAGGCACACGTGCACAGACTCGTGCACACAGGTACTCAATGCGCCATGTCCAGCCCAGTGGTGAAGGCAGAACTGAAAGCCCCAGCAGCCAGTACCTGGTGACCACCACGTAGACAGAGTATTTCACAGGCAGCTGCAGCTGGAATTCGGTTTTGTTGTTCCCAGGTATGTTTTTCTCACTGAAGGGAAACAGAGAGCTCTGGTCAGCTCTTGAGAATTGAGAATCAGCCTTTCCTTCTCCTTCTTCCTCTCCCTCACCCTCCGTCGCCAACCAACCACCAAGTCCTGTCCTCTCAGCATCCTAAACGCTGTCCTCTAAATCCAACAGAGGAAACAGAGATTATAGGAAAGACCAGGGCCGCCCCTGTGTAGCCCAGGCCCATCCCCACTCACCAGGACGGATGCCTGCAGAAGGGTGCCTTCTTCTCACTGGTCCCCTGAATTCAAAATGACTCCCACTCCAATCCCCCCGCTCCTGGAGAGTGATCTTTCTAGCATGCAAGGGTGATCACATCACTCCCAAGTTAAGTTGCAAATTCCCTAAGAGCACTCGTCGATCATTTCATGACACGGCCCATGTCTAACCAACTCCTTCAATCCTGCCTCCTGTGCTCAGACTCAGCCTGACCTTTGCAGTCTCCGGGCTTTGCTTGGTCCACACTTCCTTCTCTCTGTCTTCATGCCCAGCCTCAATTCATGCCTTTGCTTGGCTAACTCACGGCCTGGATGTATAGTCTTCTCTGAACACCAATCTCCCAAGAAGACTGGACATCACTCATTTCATACTGTATCATAATCATAGGCTTTCCTGTCTGTCTTTGCCCCTAAATTATAACCTCTGTGAGGGCAAGAGTCACAGCTGTCTTGTCCATTGCTGTCCCACCAGCACAGGGGGCCACGCCTGGCACGTGGTGGGTGCTCAGTTGGTGTTTCTTGAGTAAACAAATGAGCTGAAGGGAGAACCAGTGGGGAGAGGGCAATGGTCCACCCTGAGCAGGGGGGCCGGGGGCTGGGGCCTCAAAATGGAGGAGGCCAGGCATAGCGCACCTGGTCACGTTGGCCTTGAGAAGTAGTTTGTTTCCAAAGAAAGCATCAGGGTTCACGTCAAATGTGATATTGAAGGTGATCTGGAGTTGGAGAAAGAAGAGACGGTGACAAGAGTAAGAGAGAAGGAACAACCCATTCAGCTAAAGAATGGGTAAATAAAATGTGGCACATCCGTACAACAGAATATTATTCAGCCGTCAAAGGAATCTGAATATTAATACATCCTGCAACACGGGTGATCCTTGAAAGCATGATGCTCAGTCAAAGAAGCAAACCTATTATATGATTCCATTCATATGAAACATCCAGAATAGGTGACTCTCAAGACAGCAAATAGATTAGTGGTTGCCTAGGGCTGGGAGAGATGGGACGACACGGTCCCATGGCTGAGGGGAGCAGGGTCTTTTCTTGGGGTAATAAAATACTCTAACATTGATCATGGTGATGGATGCACAGCACTGCGAACATTGCAAAAGCCACTGGATTGTATACTTG